CTCGTGTGCTTTGCCATAATTAAATAATCCAATTCCAATCCTTAATTAAATATAATTGATTTGTAAATTCTACTAGAACTGACGGTAAGAATTGAAGTGGAAATAAGTAATATGGTGTGCAATCTTGATTAATATAAAATTAAAAATATTTGCATAGAAAAATGTTTGCATTCAGACAGAAAGTTTTTTGAAATATTTGCAATTACTTTATAAGAAGGATTTATTAATAACAGTAATAATTACTTATTATATTTCTGATGATTAGGATTCAGTTCTTGACAATTACATTCTAAATTAGAAATTTAAGGATATAATGAAAATACGCTACGCACAAAAATACATTTTAGGAAAAAAATTAGTTGATTTTTTATGTTTTAAAACTTCTTAAATTCATTTAGTAAACATCGTATCCTCGTTGTTTATTGAATCCAGAATGTTGGTGTCGTTTATATAATTATTCTTACTTGTCCACAGAATCTGCTGACTTATCCAGCCATTAAGTAGCTGCAGATCATTTCTACATAACCATTGAACTTCCATTAATTCAGTCTCTAGAGGGTTGTATGTTTATATCATAATTTGACTTTATAAAAAAAAATGATTATTCTAAATATTATGTTTCTATAAAAATATATTGTGCTTTAAAAATATGGATAATAGTATCAGCCGCACTTTCAGCCACTTCAAAAGCAACAGTTTGTTTAGAAATAAATTATGCAGTTAATGTCATAAAATTCAAATAAATATCAAACGAAAATTCTCAGTTTTAGACAATTCGATTTAAACGAAGTAAAGTAGCAGACGATAAAACGCCGAAGGTAAAAATTTACTCTTACAAAAACTTACTCTTAATTTTTTTAAAAAAAGAAAAGATACGAGAGAAATTTAAAAAAAAAAAAAATAGTTAAAAATTTGAATAATATCATCTATAATTTAAAAAAATAGCCTTTCATATAGTATTAATAAATATTTATTACGCATCATCGAGGGAAAAAATGTCATATAATTAATTCTCCGTAAAATTTTACTTGAAGTTTAAGGTTAAAAATAGCTGTGGCAATTCAGTGTAACAAAAATCCAAGGAGGTTAGAATCTCCTTGCAAAAATCCATAGACTACATTTGGCGTTATTATCGCTCAAAAAAAAAAAAAAAAAAGCTGCCAAATTTCAAAACGCGAAATTATGTAAATTCGTGTATATCTTAGAAAATTTTGAGTAAAAAAGTCTAATTTTTTGCAGATATGCTTAAAAATACATCTACTTTAAGATGATGGTAAAAATTTTATAGGTTATAATTCAAAATTTTTTTCGAAAAATCTATAGAAATTATTTAAAAATAAAATTTTAAAAATAAAACGCAAAAAAATGGGTAAATTTTATTTGGAATGAACCAAAATTTCGAAATGTGAGAGAAAAAAAATCAAAAAAAGTTTAATAAAAAAAAAAAAAGAGATATTAATAAATATTTGCCAAATTCAATTAACATTGAGGAGCTAAAATTTTGAGAGCTAATATTTTAAAAACTATTCGTACGATTTTTACAAAACTTGGTATTCTGGCATAATTTGAGTCGTAGAATCGAAATATGTAAAAAAATTGGTATGTTATTTCAGAAAAAGTCCGATTTTGTGTCAAAATACCTATGTTAGAATAGTACTATGTATAAATCTAATATATATCCTAAGTCGCGCTTTCGAGACATGAAAAACGTAGTTTGAATTTTGTCAATCGCCCCAGTAGAACGGGAGATATAGCACTGTCCCAATGTTTTTTTTTTTTGGGAGCAGTGTACCTGGTGTGTTTGCAATTCGCTGTGTCATCCCTCGACAAGATTTAGTAGCTGAAACTCCGAGTGGCTTATTACCTCAATCACTTCAAGTTGTCCTAAACGCAGTAAACAAAATTCCAAGCAATGTGTTGTATTCGAGATTATTTGCGCAGTTGTTTGAAGAAAATTACAAGAACTCTCGTCGATTACTTTTTTTTTTCCCTAATGGCGAGCACTTGATTATGCCGGCATCGTGCACTCCTACGGCCAGATCTGTGGTCCATCTTTATTATGGAGGCACCTAATAGGTGGGCCACTATCTTTAATACCATTGCCTCCTATGAAGGGGCAGACAATTTTTACATCCATGCCTTTTCCGGGCCCTTCGGTATCGCAATCAGGCTCCCGTCCGACTATACCGTTTGGGATTATTCTTTCACACTGAAATACACTGACTGTCAAAAAGCTTACGTTTAACATTTTTTTTTTTTTTTTTTTTTTTTGAGACTGCTTTAAAGTTTTTGGATGCTAAAGATTTCATCTTAAAAAAAAATTTAATCAACTGGAAATCAGATATCGTTTATTTAGCAGATCTGTTTATTAAATTCAATGAGGCTAACTTGTAGTTACAAGGTGACTATCTTAATTTAACAGAAACCAAGTCTATAACTGCAGTTATTCTTGCCAAAATTAACCTAGAGAGGCAGAACATTGGGCGGCAGGAACTTTTTCAGTTTCCCAATTTGTCAGAACAAACTGCCTGGATGATGACGTTTCATACGGGCAATTTGTTGTGACAAATTGGGAAATTCAACATTTAAACATCCTTGACAGGTTTGAAGATTTTTTGGCTACACACTAAAACTTCAAATACTATGCAAACACCACACAGGATTATCAGTTCATGCGGTGACACTGAAGAATCGGATGTCGTGTTACAAGAACTGATTGGAATGTGCACTAATGAAAAACTTAAGGTGCAGTTTAAAAAGGGATAACAGCAATTCTGACTTCAAAGAATATACTTGTTACTTATCCTGCATTATGACAATCGCAAAAAAGATTTTGATAGCATTTGCATCTTTATAACTTTATTACAGATTTGCTATTAAAGCTTCAGGTTCTTCATCCCTCCCATTAAAAGTATTGATTTTATTTATGTACTTATTTCATGTAAGAATATTGTTAGATTCGCATTTTGTGCCATTCTGATTAATAAAGGTATGCAAATAATTTCTTAATTTAAAATTTTCCACCTTACAATAAACTCTATAAAACGGGTAGCTGTCAAAAAAATGTTTGAAGTTGATGAATATTTAAAAATTTAGTATTAGATAGCATTTCAAAACTATTTAGACAATGTAAAATTTCACCGGTCAGCTTTCATTGCTAGCTAAATTTCGCACTTGCCATACAAGATTTCCTTACATTTTTCTTCACCTGTGTTTTGGAGCGCCTTGGGTGAAACTTTACGCTCAGTTTCATTCTGATTTGGAACTCTCGAGGGTAAATATTCTATTGTCACTCTATGAAAAACAATCAGTAAATGGTCTAAAGAATAGGTTTGGGAACCTCTGCTGTAAGCCAATAGTTCACTTTTTTCTAAATCTCAGTGCAAATCATTGTATTCTCTCTTGCATTTTAATTTTTTTGAGGGCAAAAACTATAATATTTCACAATGCACCCTTCGAAAACTAATGTAACTGGCTATTACATTGTAAATATATGTCATGACCTTCATTTAAAAATTGCTATCCATGCAGCTTGAAATATGAAAAGACAGGATGTTTTCGTGTTGCATAGCAGCACTATTTAAAGAACTGTCTTAAATTCACTTCATGATTGAGGTTATTCAACTATTTATAATATGGTTATGACATAAAATAGAAATTTTTAATCAGATACTCTATATTTAACATTTTTCGGCTAACTTCATTTTATAATTTTCTTACGCTTTTATACTGAGAAAATCCTCAGTAGGGAAGGAAAGTAATACATGGAAATTAAAAAGTATATAGTATTGTCTGGATAAATTTAGTTATGTACTATATATTGATCTAAAACAAAATTAAAGACAAATATTACCTGATTAAGCATTACTGGATCTTCATATAAAGTTACACATGCCTAAATTGCCATATGTAGATTCTATGTATGCCTTTGAGTGCAGATTAAGAAAACTGAGATCAAATAAAATTTAATATGGAAAACTGTTGAAAATCACGAGGGACGGGAAAATAGAATCTGCACAGTTCCAATTTAATTTATTGCTTTTAAAAAAAAAACTTCTTAGTAGAGGCTAAAAATTAGAGATTTGATGATATACTGGGAAATGCAATGAAAAACCAAGAGGGCTGACATCTATATACTATTAAAAATATTTCTTAAATTAATAATTTTATTAAATGAATTATGTACTAGTAAACCATTAAGTCAATGGCTTTACATTTGCTAATATAAAGAGTTAATTATAAGTAACTGAGTCTGTATTCACTGTGTAAAGTGATTCAAGAAGTTCAGATAGAATTATATATTAACCAAGCAAAAGCCATGCCTGAATTTTATACTTCATTTCAAAATAAGATAGAAAAACCAGACTCAACAAAATCCCATTATTTAATGCAAAATAAACATCTTTCAAATATTTGGTAATTTAAAATTTTTGTAGTTCATTAAAAATGACTGATAAATAGAAAAAAAATTGGTGACATAAATGTTTAGATTATGTAAACTAATATTCATTTATACATACTCAATAACAGCTACTTTGAATAAGAGAGATTACAATTAATTTCTTTTAATTTTCTACTAAATTTGAATCATTGTCAGCAGCTTAAAAATTTCTCATCATTTTAAGTTGGGGAGGAGGGTAACTAATTTTTATTATAGATAATTACAAAAAATGTGTTTTGAAAATTAAAAAAAAAAAAAAAAAAAAAAAAAAAAAGGAAGAAAATAAGAAAATGGATATATATTTCTTGGATTAAGTTCATAAACCATAAAAACTAAATACCAATTTTCTCTCTAGGTGTGAAAATAAGCATATTTAAAGCTTTTTTTTTTTCGATGTAAATGTATAAAACTAAAAAGTGCTTTAAGATGAATTGACATGTTTCTATGCTTTTTTATTTAGTTACTGATAAAATTCACTATTTAATTTGTTTAAATATCAGTGTAGTATTAAAAGGGTGGTGTTCTTTTAATAGAAATATGCAAAATAAAACCAAAAATACACAATTTATACCATGAATTTTAATAAAGAAAATGAGGTATCAATATGGATGAAAAAATCATGATTTCATTGGTTCACCACTTCCATTAACCTTATGTCCACATTTCTCCAGTTCAGCCCTACGAGGGGGGAAAAAAATCTATTTAAATTATATATATTTGAATGAATTTTTTACTTAAAGAGAGTTACAGTGGATGGACAAAATATGGAAACACCTTGTGAAATGCATGTTTGAAAAGAAAGATTGATTTTAATGAAATATGTAGGTGGCGCTGGCGTTTTTGACTACTGACGCCACCTATACAACTTCGTAAATGTGCTAAACAGTTCAGTTGTTGTCGGAGTACTGTTATGTGAGGTTGTCATTGCATTATGTCAGAGTTAACAGACTTCGAAACGTGGGCAAATTGTTGGAGCACGTATGGTAGGTGCTTCCGTAAGCAAGGTAGCCGAGGTGTTTAGTGTTTCAAGAGGTACTGTATCGAAGATTTATTCCGCATATTTGAAAAGCGGAAAAATATCATCTGCCTAAATCACAGCGTGGACGAAAAGTGTGTCCTGAGTGATCGTGACAGATGATCATTAAGGGCAATTGTAACGAAAAATAAGAAGACCACAGCTGCAAAAGTTTACTGCTGAAATGAATGTTGTGTTACCGAACCCTGTGAGTACCAAAACAATTAGAAGGGAGCTTCATAAAACAGGGAATTGATGGCCGTGCTGCAATTGAGAAGCCACTCATCAGTGATGCTAATGCCCGTAACAGGAAAAGGTGGTGTTTAAGTCATAAGCCTGGACTATAGAGCAGTGGAAGCGGTAATATATGTAATCTGGTCTGACGAGTCTTATTTCACATTGTTTCCCACTTCTGACCAAGTTTAAGTCTGGAGAACGCCATCTCAAGCCTATAATACAGACTGCTTGTTGTCATCACTGCATGGCGGGGGTTCTGTTATGGTTTGGGCAGCCATATCGTGGTTCTCTGCTAGCCCCATGATAACTGTGTCAGGGCACATGACTGCCAAGACTTATGTGAACATTTTGGCCGATCAAGTTCATCCCATGGTACAAACTTTGTTCCCCGATGGTGATGGTGTCTTCCAAGCCCCTGTTCACACAGCTCACATTGTCCAGGACTGGTTTTCTGAGCATGAGGATGAGTTGTCCCATCTCCCCTGGCCACCACAGTCACCAGACCTGAATATTATCGAACCTTTGTGGGCTACATTGGAACGGAAAGTGCGTTCTCGTTATCCACTGCCAACATCGTTATCTGAACTTGCCACCGTTTTGCAGGAAGAATGGTATAATATTCCCTTGGCAAACATACAGGAACTGTATTTATCCATTCCGAGAAGACTGCAAGCTGTTTTGGATGCCAATGGGTTTCCTACACCATATTATGCAAAGAAACATGTTTTTTTAAAGGTGTTTCCATATTTTTGTCCAACCCCTGTATTTTTGGTGTCAGTAATAGTTAAATTTAATAAATAAATAAACAATAAAAACATTAAAAACAGTTTTTAATTAAAGTACAATATCTAATCATAAAGAATCCAACTCATAATTTGAATGGAAAAGAGAAAAATGTATTGAAAGCACAAATCTGCCGTTTTTTAACCAAAAATTATGCATTTATTGTCAAAGATTGGCACATTATGTTTTATTCAACTGAATTATAATTTTAATCAATTTTATTAAGTACTGCCCATCGCTAGCCACTACCTTTTCCCATTTTTCTGGCAGCATACGGATACCGCATTGGAAGAATACTTCATCTTTTCAGAATCTACAAATCAACCCAATTTTTGGTATGTTCATATGATGTGAAGCCCTGCTCACATAGGCCATGCATTATCAAAGGGCACACATTCAACTCAAAGCTGAACATTTTTGCATGGGGAAAAATGTGATGCTAATAAAAAATTGCTAACATTTCAATATGTTTTACACTCTTTTGCTACTTTTTACAAACGCATGATAAGATACTATGGAAATTCTTATTAGTGTTGATCTCATAACAAACTTAGCTATAAACTTTAAAATACTTTTCTTTTGTTTTTCTCAAATTTCTGTTTTAGATAAGAGTTCTTTGCATGTTTACAAGTTTCATTCAAAACCGCAACCATTTAATATGGCGATTTGATAAGTTAGTGATTTTTTATAATGCATAAGACTTACCCATCTGCTGAATTTTCAAAAATGTGCCAAACTGGCCTGTAATCTCCAGCTTTACCTCGCAATGATCTAATGTGGCGATTTGATGACCTAGCAATTTTTTAAAACGTGCAACACTTACCCATTTGGAAAATTGCCAAATTTTTGAAAATGTGCAAAACTGGCCTATAATCTCCAGTTTTATGAAATAATTAATATTTGGAACTTGCTTTCAATGAAACAGCACATATTTTCAAAATAACAGACTCCTGGCATCAAGAAATGTGTGACTGAAGCTTATGAAAATGGATAAATACTGAAACAACAACATGAAAAATTACCACATACACTTTAATATCTTCACTTTCATTTGATATACTCCCAAATGATTCTTGATAAGGCACATTTTGTTTTTTAATAAGGATATAAATTGTTATTATTGTATTTTTCCCAGTCTTTTGAAAAAATTATTTAAACCTGAGACCTTTCTCCTATAGAACAGTAAGAAGTGGATTAATTTCAAGCTATGGAACCATAACATCAAAAGCATTTGTATTAATGATACGGTCAGCCGAATATTCCAACTGCACAGTAATAGACTGGAACAATTACCTGCTACCAGTCAACCAGATTATTTACCTTTCTATAATGTCATTTATTATGTCAACTAGATAATTTACCTTTATATGTTACTAGCTTTACCTGTGGCTTTGCACGCCTTAAATAAGTTTCAACTCCGCGTGAATTTAAAAAATACACTCCATGTAAAATTTCAGTAAATACTGCCCTTCTTCAATACCTATAGGCCGCAGATATTCTGTATTTACACCTGGTCAAAGGGTTATTTTTTAAAATAAAGAACATCGAGCGCCTTAAAATGATAAAACGATAATTGTTATCGTACACAGTAAAATGTAAAAAATATAAAATGTAAATGCAATTTTTCAAGCAACAATAACAGAAATATATAACATGAATGAATAGATCTTTAAAAAAATATGAAAAAAAAACATTAAATATATCACAAAAGTTGAAATGTTAATAATAGTTTTGTGGGATGGCATCGTTCATTATAATCGGATGACGCAACAAGCTGTGAGAATAATCTTTTACTTTTTTCGATGATGAAAGTCAGACGATTCCGCCATTAAGACGATGATGCGACTGAAAGATGTTTACATGTAAAAGACAGTCGATTCTCTACATCTGTATATATCATCTAGGTAAATTCATCTTTCTACACATGTAATCATTTTGTAGTCTGTAGCAACTATTTATGTTTCATTAAATATTCGAGTTATTCATAAGTCGAATTAGTCATTCCAAGCCCCTAGAGAGCCACATCGGAAGTAAGTTTACAAACATCATATTCTTAGACAGTAAGTACCGATTCTACAGAATTGGGCGCTCAGGCCGGTATGAGCCTAGGAAGAAGCATGATGAATATTACAAAAGAAGAGAAGTAAGTTTTGTTTCGATTATTTCTACATTATTACTTCTAAGAATAGTGTTCTATGATACTGTGAATTAAGATGACTACCTTAAATTCTATTCCTAGAATTTTCAATTCTTTAAAGACTGAGCCTACTAAGTCAATTAAACTTTTACATCAAATTGTGTTTGGAACTTTGGGTGATCGAAAAAATAGAGCTAGACTGCATAACTTTTGTGGTTTTCCATCTAATTTTAATATTGAAGAAACAAAACAAAAATTACTTAAAACTCTTACTGCATATGATTTTATTTCTGTGTGTAATTTGTTACATCTTAATTATGATTCAAATCCTGATAAAAACTGTGATTTAATATTGAATAGTCTTGTGATTTTAAGCTTTTTAAAATCCGAAAGTGATGACGATGATGAAGTTATCTGAAAACGAAAGTGTTTATGATTCTGATATAAAAATGATGATATTAATTCTGTTTGGTCAGAATCACCTCCCATAAATAACTCAGTGGATGAAAACATTATAATGCCTAGCAATATTTCCCTACATTTTCGTGATATCTTAGAAACTGTTTCTGAATTTAATGGCACTGATACTATCCAGTTGAATCCTTCATTGGTGATTTAGAAGAATCTTTTAAACTATTTAAGTTATCGGAATTACAGAAAATTGTGTTTGCTAAAAAATTGCTTACTGGTTCTGCTAAAATATTTATTAGGTCTTTGAAGGGTATAATATCACGGGACAAATTAAAAGAAAATCTTTTATCTGAACTTGGTTCTAAAATAAACAGTGCACAACTTCATAATTTGTTACAGAAACGACACTTAAAACCTGGTGAATCACTTTCAAAATATTTAATTGCCATGCGTGAAATAGCCAGTCGTGGTTTTGTTGATGATTCATCAATTCTTGATTATGTAATCAATGGGATACCAGATCAGAGTAGAAACAAAATTGTTTTGTATGGGTGTAAAACTATTTCTGAATTCAAAGAGAAATTAAAAATTTATGAGAAAATTCGCGTTCCAGATACGAAAAATAAGGGTTATTCAAGTACTAACACACAAAATTAAACATGCGCTGTACCTAGTAAGATTAAAGAGCCAAGGTGTTATAATTGTGGAAGTTTAGGCCATAAATCGAATTTCTGTAACAATAAGAGTAAAGGATTTAAATGTTTTAAATGCAATTTGTTTGGACACAAAGCCTTAGATTGTTCGAAAACATCATCTAAAAATATCCAAGATGCCAAAGCTGTTACTCCAATAACTCAGACTTGTCAGAAAGAAATGCATAAAACTGTTAATTTGGGTAATTTGCAAATTGATGCTTTAATAGATACTGGTAGTCAGGTAATGTTAATCTGAGAAGATATACATAAGAAGATAGGTTCTCCTGAATTTAAGTCGTCAAATCTACAGTTAACGGGGTTTGGTAATGGGAAAATTAAGCCTATAGGAAAATTTGATGGTGAATTCGAAATTGATGGTTCTTCATTTCGATCAAATATTTGTGTTATCGCATAAAACGAAATGTTTTTACAAGCGATCATTGGTACTGATATTATAAGGCAAGGGGAATTAACTGTAAATAAAAAAGGAGTTTGAAATTAGAAAATTGCAACCTGAAAACTACCATTTGATATGCATTTGTGATATTTATAATGACGAGGAAATTGATATTAAGTCATATCAAAGACGGAGTACATCAGAGATGAAATACTACACTTAGTTAAGGAATTATAAGGCCGAATAAAATAAAAACATCTGGCCCTGAAGATGCGAAAATAGTGCTGACAGGATCAACTTCCAGGTTATTGCGCCACTGCACGACGCTTTTCCCCCCCCTCCTTGCAGAGCAGCGTGAAATTGATAAACAGATTTCGGAGTGGTTAGAGAAAAAAATCATTAAACAAAGATGTTCTGATTACGCAAGTAATATCGTGCTAAGTAGAAAAAAATGTGGCGGTCATGGAGACCATTCTGCATAGATTATCGGCGCCTGAATTAAAAAGTAATTCGCGATTGCTTTCCTCTGCCATTAATTGATGATGTTATTGATAAATTACAATCAGCAATGGTATTACACTACACTTAGATTTAAAGAACGGTTTTTTTCATGTTGAAGTACACGAAGAGAAAGAAAGTAGAAAGTATACCCATCTTTCGTAACACAAAACAAACAGTATGAATTCTCTGAAAGTCCCGTTCGGTCTTGCTAACAGCCCAAGTGTTTTTCCAAAGATACATCTGCATGATATATTTCGTGATCTTTTAAAGGACAATACTGTTGTAATCTATATGGACGACTTCATTACTCCTATCCGAAAATGAAGCTCAGGGAATTCAAAAATTGAAACCCGCGTATTACAGACTGGCATCGGAATATGGACTAGAACTAAAAATTAAGAAATGTCAATTTTTGAAGCACAAAATCGAATTTTTAGGACACAAAATTAAAGATGGGAAATTATATCCTTCTTCTTCTAAAACGAAAGCAGTAATTAACTTTCCAGAACCTAAATGTGTAAAAGATGTTCAAAGTTATTTAGGTTTAACTGGTCACTTCAGAAAATTTATACCTAATTATTCATTAATTGTAAAACCACTTAGTGATTTACTGAAGAAAGATTCTAAATTTAAATTCGAAACTAAAAAACGTTATGCTTTTAATGAATTGAAACGCATCTTGACGTCTGAACCTGTTTTGTGTATTTATAATCCAAAAGCAGAAGCCGAAATACACGCTGATGCTAATGCTGACGGTTATGGTGCGGTTCTGTTACAGAAATCCTTAATTGATAATCAGATGCATCATCCTTAATTGATAATCAGATGCATGTTTATTATACGAGTAGGAATACGACAGACATTGAACGTAAATATTCGAGCTACGAATTAGAGGTTAAAGTAGTCGTAGAAGTTCTTAAAAAATTCAGGGTGTACGTATTAGGCATACCATTTAAAATTGTTACAGATTGTAATGCATTCAAACAAACTATGAGCAAGAAAGACATTTGTACTAAAATATCTAGATGGGCATTAATGTTACAAGATTATGATTACACAATCGAACACAGATCTGGCATGTGTATGGGACATGTGGATGCTCTTAGTCGAAATCCTATATGTATGGTAATTCAAGATGGTATAACATTTAAGATGATTCGAGCTCAAGAAACTGATGAAAACATAAAAATTATAAAAGAAGTTTTGAAGTCTAGGCCATGTGGAGATTATTGTTTACAAAATGACTTGCTTTACAGAGTGGTGAATGAAAGTGACGCTGTGAACCATGAATTAGTGGAAGAAGAAGCTCAAGAAGACACAATACACTCAGATTCGAAGCCAATGAGGAGAAATGCCACTGCAGAACGAGATTCTGAAGAGAAGCATTTTCTTGAAGAAGAGTCATTTGCTAAAAATGATGAATCAAATGCGAATTCTACTAGAACAATTTTAGTCAAATACCTTGCAATAGAGAAGCAAAAGAAGCCACTGGAGACGAAGAAACTACAGACACTACCGAAGAAGAAGAGAAGATTGAAAAGCAGAAGTCAGTCAGAAAACCTGATCACAACGACGCTGATACGGAAAGCAAAGACGGAACAAAAGAAAGTAAAGAAGGCGAGAAAAAAGAAGCGAAAAAGCAGATTCAGGAAGAAAATTGAAAATCTTTGATAATGAAATAATGATTTTGATGATTCCTGATTTAGACGTTTTCCCCGACTAGACAAATTTCTCCTGATTTGACTAATGGACTATTATTTTAAAGACGTGAACTAATTTAAGAAGACTGAAGATGATGTCTAAGGATGAAATGTATGAAGGAAGACGGCTTAAAGAAGATGATTTTGAGAAGACGCATTCGAATGACGGATCTTGAAGATATCTAAGACGCATTCAGAAGACGTATCCAGACGGTATCTAAGAAGACGCATTCAGACGATGTTTAAGAAGACGTAAATACGAAGACGAATTGTTCCAGACAGCATAAAAGGAAGACATGTTTGGGAAATAGGTACATTCAGATAAACTGTTAAAGTTGAACGAATGTTGAAGAAGAGCTAACGCCATTATTTCTGAGGATGTTAAGATGATAAGGGAAGATGACTGAAATAAACCATTTAGGACGACTTTTCCCTCAATAGTAACTAAAAATCTTTTTTTTGTTTTTTAAAATTTTATTTTTCAGATCCCTAGATGAGATGGTGGTGCTACGAGAATGCGAGGCCATATTCCATCAGGATGGACGAGCATTTGTGGGATGGCATCGTTCATTATAATCGGATGACGCAACAAGCTGTGAGAATAATCTTTTACTTTTTTCGATGATGGAAGTCAGATGATTCCGCCATTAAGACGATGACGCGACTGAAAGATGTTTACATGTAAAAGACAGTCGATTCTCTTCATCTGTATATATCATCTATGTAAATTCATCTTTCTACACATGTAATCATTTTGTAGTCTGTAGCAACTATTTATGTTTCATTAAATATTCGAGTTATTCATAAGTCGAATTAGTCATTTCAAGCCCCTAGACAGCCACATCGGAAGTAAGTTTACAAACATCATATTCCTAGACAGTAAGTACTGATTCTACAGTTTCAAGTCGGTAAGTTAATTAGAAGTCAAGATATTAATTTAAAAATGATTTTCCATGTGTGAATCCCTGAACTTCGACCTTTTCGCCAATCCAAAAGTCTACCGGATAGCAGCTACCCCTCCGTCTGTCGCTTTCGAATCGCAACCTGTCAACAAAGAGTTAACAAAAGCAAGCGGAGTATTATTTCATCTGTGATTAAGCTGGAAATAATTATGTGACAAAAACAGTTCCACCACCATTGTTCCTATCATTCAGAGTGCGACATAATTTCCAAATTTCAGAACAAAAGTTATAATTTTTATCACCAATTTATTGGATCCACACGGGAAGACCTAAGAAAAAACCCCTAATGTCACTATTGAGTCTCATTCAAATTAGCATTTTTATTAATATCTCAGCTGATAAAAGTAGTACAAAGATCAGAATGGTATCAATGGATTCCAACGAAGTTTTGGTATCGGGGGATATGGGTCTTGAAATTCAACCAACTGTTGTTCCATACATATGTTTTTAAAATTCAATTGGCACATAGCCAAATCCCTTTAATAGGGAAAAAAAACCCATCAAAGTAAGTGAAAAAATGTAGGAGAAAAGCAGTTTTTAATTAATATCTCAGCTAATTAAAGTCGTACAAAGACATTTTATAGCCTTCGTACCTTTTTTAATATATCAAAAATATTTCTTGAAAATTTCATGATGATCGGTTAAGTTATCAAGGTGTGAAAGCATAACAAACAAACAAACTCGCATTCACATTTATAATATTAGTAAGGACGTCCATACTTTGTGTATGTTGATTATCTTATTAAATAAAAGGCAATCTGTTCCTTTAACTTCTTCCAGAATGACTGGCACAAGTTTGGCAAGATCTACACAAATTTTCATGATTGGCAGAATTTTATAATCGAATATATCTTACTTCAGAGTTTATTTCTGAAATGCCATGTTTTCTTTCTAAATCTCACATAATTTAAACATAGGCACTGGAAATTCAAACGGATAAAAATTTAATTACTTGTTTAATAATTTTAGATCAGAAATTTTGTAAAACAAAAAAGAAAATTTACCTTAACTGATTACTAAACTCGTCTTCAACATTGTCATCATCCCAGTTATCTTCCCAGACATTAACGTCTTGTTCATCTTCATCTTTAGCAGTCCAATCTAAAATTCAGTACATGAGTCAAAATGCATGTCTATATGTAGTCAATTCAAACATTCAAAATATTTTAAGTATTTATGTATTAATGCAACCATCTTAGCCAAAGTTTTTAGTCAATTTTAGTCAATTGCTAAGTCTTCACACTGTGTCAAACTCTGGCAACTACATCCATAATAAGTTTTTAATTTTAACAAGTAACATCACCATTTTCATATACATTCTTTTTGTAGCATTTTAAGTTCCAAGCATTTTCATAGAAAATCCATGATACTTTCTGCATTTATGTACAGATTTTCTGCAATATCAGCAAGTGCTTTAAATTGATTCTTAACAGTTTTTACTATGAAGTTTCGACTAGAACAAAAGAAGCAGAAACCCGATAGTCAATTAAAGTGATCAATTGGTTTTTGAGATAGATACCTTATATAGTATAGCATTAATAGGCGACCTCTTTCTTCTGTAAAACAGTGCCAAGTCTACTACAAGGTGCACTAATAACTACAAGGTGTCTATAATTAAAGAACCCTATTTCAAAACTGCCTACAAACAAACTAGTAATCAGAAAATTGTGAAATTTTGTAGTGGACTTAATGAAGGGATGACAATGTCTTTCAGCGGAAAAAAATAATTAGGGGCACCCGTAAATATATTTTTATCTTGTTATTTCTTTAATTTTTAAATTTATTTGTGTTGAAATTGTTTGGAATTTACTGATGTTATCTTAGTTTAAATTTGTTGTCAAGCATTTCTGATGAGAAACTTCTTGCTTATTAAACTTGCTTATTCTTGCTTTTTAATTAGATTAGTATTTAGTAATCACAATTGCTTATCTAAGTTTTTTGTTTTTATTTTAGGCTTTAAGTTTGAAATGTAAATAAACAAAAAAATTAGGTAAGTAAAATCATAGTTTCTCTCATCAAACCTGGTCTGTATGAGACAGCTGTTCCTTATTTTTTTCTAAAAATATGTAGTAGTTCTTGAAAAGTTCTCTCCAACCATGATAAAGACTGTTCTAAATTTAGAGTGCTAATTCAATTTAATTAATTCTTTTTCAAGAAATAATGGTAAATTCACAGTTCTTGAAAATCTTTGCTTGAATATCATAATGTAAATTTCTACAATCACCATCTTGAAAGTCTTTCGTAAAAACTGTTGTAGTGAATATAAAATGCAAATATTTCTGTGGTATATTCATGAAATGTTATTAAAATTAACTATTCAAATTACATATATGTACCTCCTTTTCATATACAGTCAAAAGTCATTAATCCGGACTCGTCGGGACTTCGAAGATTCCGGATTATCGATTTTGCGGATTATAGATCATCAGTTTAAATCTGGTAAGATGGCATGCAGAAATTATAAAATTAAAAATATGAAACCATAATTTATGAAATAAAGAACAATTATCATCTAAAGGGTATCAAAATTTACAAAAAAAAAAAAAAAAAAAAAAAAAAAAAGGCTGAATATTTATTTGTTTACTTTATTAAACATTTCTTTCAACGTAAGTTGTTTAAGTTGCTTCATTTTTTATGTGATAATACATTCTCTTTAATTCTATGAACAGACATAATTTCTTGTTCAGTTACAAAGTTCCGCTGTTCAAGTCCTATAATTGCTGTGTCGAGAATACCGACTAATTTGTCAATCGAAATTTTTTCGTTTTCAATAACCTCTGTCACTTTCTTCGCTATTGGAAGCGAATTATAATGACGAGGAATTTGATTTAAATCATATCAAAGATGGAGTACATCGAGATGAAATACTACATTTAGTAAGGAATAATAAGCCAAATAAAATAAAAAACATCTGCCCTGAAGATAAGGCTAGTGCTGACAGATCAACTTCAAATTCATTGCGTGCCGCGGCGTTAAAGGTAAACAAATTTTAGATAAACAAACGTTAAAATTTAGATAAACAAAGGATATGCCTTTATCCATTTTTTGCAGCAATTCCACTTTCTGTTTAATGGACTTCAAAACATACTTTCGCTTTGTAGATCCTTTACATATTACAGTCAAAAGTCGTGAATTCGGACACCCATAATCCGGACCTCAAAGCTACAAACTTTCTGCGCATGCGTCGTGTTGATGCATGCACGTAAGACCTTTACGGCTGCAAATATGCGTGTGTAAAATACATTTACGAATGTGCGTTTAATGTATAACGGACGGTATAAGCTAAGCTAAAATTATCTAATTCAGTTAATGTTGCAGATTGCGTTGTTCCTTAATCTTCGAATTGGATCCGGCTTATTATTTTTTGCAGACTGTTAAAGCAATTTTATAAAAGTAAGCTTGAACTTTCGATTAGGTCAAATAGAATTTCTGATATATATTTACTAATATGTAAAGGATCTACAAAGCAAAAGTATGTTTCGAAGTCCATTAAACAAAAAGTAGAATTGCTGCAAAAAATGGATAAAGGCATATCCTTTGTTTATCTAAACTTTGTTTATCTTTAACGCCGCGGCACGCAATGAATTTGAAGTTGATCTGTCAGCACTATCCTTATCTTCAGGGCAGATGTTTTTATTTTATTTGGCTTATAATTCCTTTCTAAATGTAGTATTTCATCTCGATGTACTCCGTCTTTGATATGATTTAAATCAAATTCCTCGTCATTATAATTCGCTTCCGATAGTGAAGAAAGTGACAGAGGTTATTGAAAACGAAAAAATTTCGATTGACAAATTAGTCGGTATTCTTGACACAACAATTATAGGACTTGAACAGGGGAAACTTTGTAACTGAATAAGAAATTATGTCTGTTTTTTAGAATTAAAGAGAATGTATTATCACATAAAAAACGAAGCAAACTTAAACAAACTTACATTGAAAGAAATGTTTAATAAGGTAAACAAATAAATATTAAGCTTTTTTTTTCTTGTAAATTTTGATACCTTTTAGATCATAATTGTTCTTTATTTCATAAATTACGGTTTCATATTTTTAATTTTATAATTTCTGCATGCCATCTTACCAGATTTAAACTGATGATCTATAATCCGGATATAACGTTGCGCGCCTCCAACTTGCACGCAACCAAGAGGTGACTGTGAAAACTTGTATAAAAGATAGAGCCTTGTGAAGGGTTTAAGTCCCTTTTTATTCAACGTAATAAATTACAATTGCGTCCTCTTGACGCTTACAGACTGTGCCAACTTGGCAGTCAAATAAAATAATAACCTGAAAAGAAAGTAAAACAAGATTCTAAACTACGAGGCTCTCTAAAATACCTAATCACCGCGTTTTACAATACCGCTGCTAATTCAGCAGACTTGAAGCTCACTGGAACGATTACCACTACTTCCGCCAAGCACATAGGCCGCAACACGGGGTTCTTCAAATTCTCGCTAACTACCTCCGCGGCTCGCTAAGTAAGAATATCACACCGAAACTCGTTTCCTTCTATTTAAATCAGGAATACTTCCGCTGATAATTTGAATCCTTGGCGCTTCTACTAAAATTTACATATTCTGGCATTGGCAGTTCCAGGGGAAAGTAAGGCTTGACAGGAAAGATAGTTTAAACTTAAAATAAATGTTAGTTAAAATAAATATAAACCCTACACGGAAAAATCGATAATCCTGAGTCGGCGAAGTCCCGACGAGTCCGGATTAACAACTTTTGACTGTAGTAAATATATATATCAGAAATTTTATTTGACATCGAAGTTCAAGCTTACTTTTATAAAATTGCTCTAACAGTCTGCAAAAAATATTAAAAGTTCAAAGATTAAGGAACAACGCAGTCTGCAACATTAACTGAATTAGATAATTTTAGCTTAGCTTATACCATCCATTATACATTAAACGCGCATTCGTAAATGGTTTTTGCGCACGCGCACACGCATATTCGTATCCGTAAAGGTCTTAAGCGGCGCCGACGTGACGCATGCGCAGAAAGTTTGTAGCTTTGAGGTCCGGATTATGGGTGTCCAAATTAATGACTTTTGACTGTATTTCCTTTTCAGCCACTTGGTTTGCAAATGTAACGTTAGCATGATATCAAATTAAAGATAGGAACTGAAAAACCTTACATGCACACAACTTTGTGAAAAGAACAGCTATTTTGTTAAATCCAAAAGAAAGATAAATACAAAAATTCTCAAATTAGAATGCATATTGAATCATCAACAGTTGTTCAATGATTCATTCTCAGTTAATTGCAGATGACAGAAATAGTGAACTCTACCAGAGTGACCCAAAAGTAAATAAAAGAGCTAGAAACAGAAAAAAAAAAAAAAAAAAGTGCAAATCTTCAAACCATCACCTGTTCTACAAATCTTTTTTTTTTTTGCAACATAATGCTCATATTCCAGGGAACTACTCTGATATGCGCCCTCAAGTCGCCAAATTTCTCACCAAAATTCCATGCTGCCATATTGTTATCTAAATTTTTTGTCTACATTTCGAAAATTTAAGCCTAAAATGTCTCCAAAAACGCGGTTTTCGCAAATGCAAAAACCACGTTTTGAACACACAATTTAAGCTAAAAATCCGAAACAAAAACAAAAAATTTAGATAGCAAAATCATAAAGTTTCTAACCAAAATTATTTGACAAGAGTCCATGTACACAACGATATGTTTTAACTTAAAAAAAAATCTACGAATCTACGAACTACACATACCTCGCTTTAATAAATTAACATAACAACAATAAATTTCAAAGAATACCATGTACACAGCATCCTTTTTTTAACTTAAAAAAAATCTACGAATTGCACAATTTAGACGGTACGCACTAATCAACAAAATAACTAAAATAAATTTCAAACAATTTAAAAAAAAAAAAAAAACAATAATGACAGAAATTTATATTAAAAAACATTGAACATAACATTTTACAAAATAAGAACAAGAATAAAATAACATGCACTTACCATGAATTAATGATTTTTCGAACAGCAGAAATACCAATTTCATACCGCCTTTAACATGCCGCCACGTAATCACTATTGTATTTATATAACAGCCAGACACACTATCCAGAAAAT